TTGCAGGTCGGAGAGGGTACCGGAAAACCTCAGATTGCAGAAACGAGCCTTCAATGATGCTGGTGATGCTGGCCCCCTTGGCCAGCATCATCAGCATCATTGGGGCTCCGGTTCACTAATTTGGATGTATCAGGCTGCAGCCATTTTGGTTTTGGTGTGTTTGATGATGGCTTTTGGCTGGCACAAGGAGGGGTCAAACTAAAAATGACCACATCTGGCCCAAACCCGTGGTTCTGGGCCTAGAACCATGGGTTTGGGCCAGATGTGAGGCCCGAGAACCTGGGTTTGGGCCAGATGTGGTCATTTTGAGTGTTTTGGGAGGGAACCCAAGAAAATAGGTTGAGCCCCTTTTCATGCTACCTGCGTTGCCCGCCCCTGGGGGCATCCCCTTTAATCGGGCAATGGCCTTGGCTTTAGCCATGGAGCGGAGGTCAATGCCGCCGACCCTGCATCATTGGAACTCCGTTTCTCCAAGGGGCCCTTCTGAACCCCAAGCAAATCCCCACGCCCCACGGCAGGGATGGATTTTTGAGGAATTTTGGAGGTCCTTCAGGACACCCAAAAAAGGCATCATGAGCAAGCACGTTTTTGAAAACTAGCCCCCGAGGCCTATCTGGGCCCGGGCACCAATTTTTGCAGGTCGGAGAGGGTACCGGAAGACCTCAGATTGGAGAAACGAGCCTCCAATGATGCTGGTGATGCTGGCCCCCTTGGCCAGCATCATCAGCATCATTGGGGCTCCGTTTGACTAATTTGGATGTATCAGGCTGCAGCCATTTTGGCTTTGGTGTGTTTGATGATGGCTTTTGGCTGGCACAAGGAGGGGTCAAACTAAAAATGAGGTTTGGTCCCGATGTGGTGATTGGGTGTAATCCGGCCCTGCCGCCATGGTCCACGGCAGAGCCCGTGTCTAGAGCTGTAGCTCTATGCGCGATGGCGGCTCGTGCATCATCGGTCCTCCGTTTCTCCCAGGGCTCCTCCGGATCCCATTCCAAAACCACTCCAAATTTCACATGCGCTCCAAGAGCGAATACTCATGGCACGGAAGGATTTTTGAAGGATTTTGGGGGTCTCCCAGAACCCCAAACGTCAAAGGTTGTTGGGTGCATTGGAGGCCAAAATTGGAGAAACGGACCCCCCAATGATGCTGATGATGCTGGCCCCCTTGGCCAGCATCATCAGCATCATTGGAGTCCCGTTTCTCCTTTTGCCAGGCTTCTAGGCTGCCTGAGCCCACTGGGCCAGGCCTGATGGGGTTCCTGATTGTTGGATGTTTGGAACTGAGTGTTATGGTGGGTTTGCCATGGGGATACTGATGGATGGGGTGATGGGTTGCAGGACTTATGATGGTTTTATGCAGGTTTTCTGCGGGTGTTATGTTGGCTTTATGTGGTTTGCGTGTGGGTTTTCGCAGCCCCCCCTCCCTGCCCACCCAGCCATCATGTGAAAGCCAAGCCCATGCTGATGCTCCTGAGTGAGACAAAGTACAAAAAACTTACAGTATGTTATTCCTACCTGGGATGTTTTTGAAGTTTGGAAGGTCCTGTTCTCGGCCCAAAATGAGGCCCCAATGATTCTGATGATGTTCCTGTACCAGGCGCGAGCGCGCGCGCGCCTCGTACAGAAGCATCATCGGCACAATTGGGAACCCATTTTGGCTTAATTGGGACCAGGAAGGTCACAAGCCCAAGAAAAACCATCAAAGTACGAGGGTGGCAGGGCCGGCCCCTGCCGATTTGAGGCCTAGGGCAACGGCCTGGGATTGCTGCCGCAGGCCATGGCCCTGGCTTTGCCAAGGAGCGGCATCATGAGCACGGACGTGGTCGACGAGGCCCATTGGGGCCCAAGCATCAATTTTTGCAGGTCGGAGGCGGTGATTGGAGAAACGAGCCCCCAATGATGCTGATAATGCTGGCCCCCCTGGCCAGCATCATCAGCATCATTGGAGGGGCGTTTCTCCATGAAGGGGTGCAGGGGAGAGGGGGTTGGCCTTGCCTACGCTGCCCGCTCTTGGGCGCGGCCCCGTAAATAGTCCGGATGGAGATGAAAATGCGGATGCGGCTTATCAGATACGATTGACAATGATGATCAGACTCCAAGAGCGCTGAGGCTTCGGCGGAGCAGCAGTTTCAGGGACGCAATCTCGTCTTTCAGCTTGGGCCTGACACCGTTGAGGCAAAGGGTGCTAAACTCAAGGCCAGGAAAGGTTGAAAAAAGTATCACTTGGTGCTGCTGATCGGTGGGCCCTCTGGAACATAAAGCGCTTCTCACCCTTTCTGCACCAAAGAATCTAAAGACTCCTGGCTTCTGCAGAGCACAACTGAGGCAGCCGCAGGCTTCTTTCCATGGTTTCCACGCGACTGCCAAGCGAAGTATGGCTCGCGTCCCTGTCCTCTCGTGAAGGATCTCACTTCCAGAGCCAGGATGCAAACTCCTGACCCCGGAACTCCTGACGCTCCCTTGCAAGGATATCATCCAGCCTGCAGAATTTGGTAGGCTTCAGGTGATGGACTTTGCATGCGTTGCCATGCCCCGCTTTGAGGTCTCCAGCCTGGCGCCCTGCTCGTTGGCACTCGCCTGCTGCCTCTGAACAATGGCCTCCATGAGCCACGTAGCAGCTCAGGAATATGTGATAGTACCCAGCCTTGGTGTCAGCAAGCTCCTTGCGCAAAGCTGTGAAGTCAGATCGGAACGCCGCAGTCCTGTCATGGCAAAGTGGAAGTCACTACACTGGAAATCTACGGGCACAGCGCTTGCAAAGGGGTCTGGTGTACTGCTCCCGGATCAAACGCAGTTGTGTCTGGTGGATTTCCAGCTCCTGTCACCAGGGGTGGCCATCCCAAAATGAAGGCAGATGCTTAGCCGCCCTGGAAACATGCTGACATGCTGGCACTTCGGACAAAAAAAAGGGATTGATACAGCAATCACTGCAGGTCCTTGGCATCCAAGGACTCGATCTGCCTTTCCCACTCGACTGCCTTTCGTTGCACCTCGGTAGAAAGCTCCTGGATTCATCTTGCTCGTCCGCTCAATAATACAATCCTTGACAGAGTGTCCTGGAGACCACTGAAGCCGTTCGTGGTCTGAGAGGTGGAATATGCCTAAGAGGCGCCACCACTGCACACAGAATGACAGCGGCAAAGAAAGCACTCCACAAAGCCGAAGGGAAATGGCGCAGTAGACGGAGCCCTTTGCTGATGAAAATATTTCAAAGCTTGCTCTGCGTGCTCCGCCTGCTCGGAGCGCCCGAGCGGAAGAATTGTGTTTGGCGGGAGCGGAGGGCTCGAAAAGAAGTTTTCAGGATCGGCGTCCAGGCTTTTAGGTGACGCTGGGCATCACGTCTACTGCTATAGACACACACGGAGACCTGGAAGCGCTCAACGCCCTCGGGCAACCGGGCTCGAAGCCCAACTTGCATTGAGGCGCAGGAAAGCCATGTGCGCAAGGTGCCAAAGCAGAGTCCACAGAAAGATCCGCATTCCGCACAAAAAACTACATAGCTTTGCAAGGAACATGCTTCTCGCGCCGCTCATCACAACGAGAATTACGAGAAAAATGGGAAAATGGTGGTGACTTGTAGTTTGCATAAGCATCGCCAGTAGGAAATTCCAAGATGTGGGCTTGGCTATAGCCCAGCGTTGAGAAGCTGTTCTCCCGGGCGGCGAAGCCAGCGTAGCTGTATCCTGAACCCCAGGATTGCAGCATGCGCCGAAAGGCCCTCTGAAAGGGCAACGCCTCCCGGTGCTTTCAAGGTCGGAGAAGAGATCGTAGCATCCGGGCCTGGCAGGATCAAAATGGTACTCGCGCCGGGTTGACACACATCACTCGGTGAGAATACACATCATCTACTGCGGGCGCTGGCATTGGGAAGATTTCACAGCAGCAGAATGTTAACACATCAGAAAATGGTAATCCTTTTGTAGATGCTGATTGCAGGGCAACCCGACGCAAAGGTGGATTTTCCCGTTCTGCTGCGGACGCTGGGGCTTGAGAAGAAAATCACAAGATTCAAGGCTAAAAAATCGTATGATTCACCATGTAAACACGGGTTTTAACCATGCCAACATGGGATGATGAGACATTGCCATTTCCCGACTACTGCGTTGCGGTTCATACAGGCCGCCCGTGTCGGTTTTCGATACTAAACGATTGAGTCATGGCACGCAGACAATCAACGTAACAAAAGGTGGCCTTCCTTGAATTGCAAAGAAATACATGGATGGGACAAGGTCTCACGTCTAGTATTTCTGGGACAGCATGCAACATACGCGATACCACACAGACATGCCGCATCATGAGCTGAAACCCTGCGGACCCTTGTGAAACAGGACAATTGCAAGAATTGCTGTTGCGTGACGTCAATTTTAGATGCTTCTGACCTGGGTAGTGCGGAAGCTGCTCGATGCGTAAAAAAACTACGCGATGTGAGACAATCGTAGCTGATTGGTTATCTATTTGCTGTGGCAAGAAAACGCCCAAAAGTTTGCGGCCATCCCCTGGGGGATGTCAGTAAGGCTCTGGCTCTGAGTTGTCTTCAAAGCGCATGGTGACAAGCTGCTGTAGTCTGAACCTCCGCACAGCGAGAATCCCGCGAGAGCAGCTGAGGTAAACAGCACGAGCAGTCCAGCGCGTCAAGCACCGAAAAAACAAAGGGACACGCAGAAGCATGCCAAGGCATTTTTGCTTCGCGTTCAGCCATGCTTCATTGTGCCTGTAGCCTGCGCATGCCTTCTGCCACCTAAACTGCAAACCAGGCCATCACTGTTTCCTAATGCGAAGACCAACACCTGCCCATTCTGAATCGAACCTACACTGCATAGACATGCTAGATCTTACGTAAGGTGGCTAGCAGCTAGGCTAGCGGCGTGATATCCTGAACGCGGAAAACACTTGAAGCTGAAACCTCCCAACCCCCGAGATTCGAAACAAAAAAAATGTACAAGACCGGAAGCCGGAGGGGCAAGGGAGCGCCTAGCAGGCTGCAACCCAAGCGACGAAAACCAAGCCACCTATTTGTGCGCTCCGCCAAAAAAGACCGCAAGCACCAGGGATGCGGCTAGGCACGTGCAGGGAGCCCAAACCAGCAAGATTTGGTGTCCCTCCTTCACATGCCGCAAGCAGATTCGACTGCTGTATTGCCGATACTCTTGGAGAAAGCACTCAGCCCTCATGACTCTAGCTGGGACGTCCTGGTCGCAGTGGTGACACAGGCTCCATTGTTGCCCCTGCAGATGTCGCAAGATTGTTGTTCTATGCTCGGAGAGGGCATGCTGCATATCACGTGTCAATACTATCTTGCAGTGGAATATTTGTGCAGCATGCTTATAGTGAATGCTCTTGAGGAACAGCCCGCCTCTTGCAAAGCTATTTGCAGCGCCAGCGCGTGTGGCAGCAAATACTCATGCCCTGATGTCCACCTGTCCTTTTGTGGGAAGCCCAACCAAATGACTTGAGCCAAGCTCACTGTATATTCGGGAAGCGAGTATGCAATGTTGACAGCCTGCCTAAGCAGCACTGATGACAATGCCGAATTCTCAATTTCTGGAACTCGCTGGAGCTTCTCGAACCCTCTTGGCCTTACCAACGCATAGCAGCAGATTCCAAACACCTCATGAACGGAAGCAAACATCACCAGCAGTTGATTTGTTGCATCGGTGAAGGGTGTATCATGGGGTGTCATTCTTCTCTCCCATGTTCTGTTTCGCCAAGAAAACGGTTCGAGCTGCTGCAGGCTGCCCATGCCTGCGGAAACTTCAAAAAAGTTGCCATGCTTGTCCCTGGATTCGTCGCAATGACTTATCACCTGTAGATCTAAACACATGGGCGGAGCCACAGTGATAAAGACAGCTTTTGAGCGACCCTCAGCTTCTAGTTGAAGCTGAGGAGATGCGAAATTGTGGTGGAAGTGTGGGCTGGCTTCTTCATCACCAACACCACTGCAAGGTTTCATCCTCAAAGGGTTTACAGATCATGTAAAAGAATCGTCCATGCAGCGGCACTTTGCAACATTAGCCTGTGCCTAACATGCCAAGTTGTTGCGACCTGCAAAATGTTTCATAAAGTTGTGAGGCTTCTTTTTGAGCTGTGTCGCATCATACTCGGGTCACTAGGACTTCTCACGTTATGCGTCCACACATCAGCAATGACGCTGTATACACTCTGAGAAAATATCTCGCCCTCCATGCAATCTCAGCCAGCAATTACACCTTTTTCGCGGGGTTCCGCACGCATCGCTGAGTACACAATCGTCATCTTCCTGCTGGGGCACCTACAAATCTCTTGAAGCAGTGAATTCGGTTGCAGTCACCACAGCAGCTTACGCAAAAGATTCTCAATGGTAAGCAGCTGGGCAAGCAGCAGAATCTCTATACAGTCCGGGTCTGATTTGTCAGTCCAGATTCGTTCCAGGGATTTGTTGGCTACTTGTAAGTTCCTGTAGTACGAAACCCTGGACTATCCGGCTGATGGCAGGATGTTGAGTGTTTGCACTTTTGCCTGAGTCGGCGAGTAAGTGCTTGCAGCTCACCCCTGCCTTGGCGTGCAACCTAAGTACAGGAGACGTAATTCAGCGAATTTGAACCGATGCCTGAAGCTTCTTCCAGACACCCGCTGGAGGCTCCCTTGCCCATTGCCCTCGCGTCGCTCAACGGCGACTCTGGGGCATGATCACATTTTGCAGAGATCAAAGTGTTTGTATGACTAGTGCTAACGAACATTCAGGAGAAGGTAGGGAGTTCAGCGCTATCGCGTGCATCCACAGCTCCCAGCAGGATCCCATATCGCTGCTTGTCGAAAATCCTGGCGCAAGATGTTACAGAAACATGTTGCGGCTTCCAAAACTTCAGTCGTCTTACAAGCACTGAGCCAGAAGCACTTGGTCTGCCGCCAGCACTAAAGAAAGCATATCAAATTACAGCCTTAGCATCAGAGACACTTCAGTTGAGCGGACAATGTTGCCATGCTCTCGATGGCCGATATTGACATGAGTTGGCCTGACTTCGGCCTGTGCTAGGAACGTGGCGGGAAAGAGATTGGCAAGTGTCTGCTGGAGGTGCCTGAACCAAGTCACTTCTTCAGATGTGGCGGATTCAAGGACAGCATTGCGTAATTGCCGCAACAGCAACAGCAGCTTGCAGCCTTTTAGGTCCAGTCAGCTGGTCAGAGGCGCACACTTGCACCAATGCTCAACTCTCAGGACCCGCTCCTTTTGCCTACATCTAGAACTCCACTTTGTGAGACGAATGCGGACGAACTCCAAGCAATACTTTCCAAATAGGTCATGCTTGCTTTGGTGGTAAAGCCAAGGAGATCACGCAAGGTAGGGCGACGGTTGCAGGACGAGATGTGACAGAAAACAATCAACAAAGCAGCTGCTCGTGGCAACAACTTGACACAAGATCTGCCCGTCACACGCCCTCTCGCAGTGCCCTCAGCAGCTGCCTGCAACAGGAGGATTCCTAGAACAAACGTGGCTTGGCATGAACATCCGTCCCCATCATGCCTCACGACTCTGCTCACCTTGCTAAAAACGTACATGGGATCTTTTCAGAAAGTTGTTACTTGACGGGACCTTCTCACCAAGATGTTCAGCAAGAACACATGCAAGAAGCCAAGTTTGATACGCACTTGCAATTTTTGCTGTGCATGTAAGAATCGCCGAAACACAAAACTCAGGCCGCTTGTACATTCGTGCAATCTTAACACACCATCGAACAGAAGGCATCTGTTGCCAAGGGCATGCAGAAAAACCACCTATCCGAATCCGAGTCTACATTCTCAAGCCCAGGGGCCGCTCAAAACCCACAGGTGAACTGAAACAACGACGTGCATGGCGCAAATGAAACTCACCCCATCAGTGCCTCATTTTTTCTTTGCGCTCTTCTTCTTGCCTACCAAATGTGCCACGCGATGTGTATAAGCGGAGCGAGAATGCAACGGCTGATCGAATGTTGCCCTTGCAAAATTCACCTATCATGAAAAACCAAGTGGCTGGAAGGCGCAGGTGCGGAGGTGCTCTCCTGCACAGAACCCGTGCCAAGACATGACGATCCCTTCACCTTTACCCACAGACCGTTAACAGAAACACATGATCTATCCATAGTACTCAGCCTTCCTATTCTTAGGTCGCAGTTTGTGTCTTCAGATTTTTAGTTTGGAGCTCTGCTCCTACAAACTGGAACTTCTTCATTTTGAAAGCGCATCACGCATGGAGGGGCCCATCAAGACATGTTGGCCAATGGCAAGCTGAGGATCCACAGGATCTCCTGATCCATCGTCCACTTCCTTCATAACCTTGTCTCCCATTACCTTGTCCCCTTCACGCGCCCCCCATCACGGCGGAGTTGTAAATGCTCATGATAGCGGATCACCAAGCTGCGGGTTGACCCGGAAAGGTTAATTTCAGCGAAGGCAAAAAGCCCATTTTGTAAATAAATGCGGCAGACCCTGTGAGAGCGCGCATGGCGGAGCATGAGGTGTCCAAGCATCACGCTCTGCTGCAATGAAAGAATGCTCCCTCCCCCTTCGAGAGAGTAGGGTCAGAACGTGTTGCAAAAACCCCCTAAGCCACACGCGCAGCAATTGAAAGTGCTGACGGAAGCTCCACATAAAATGGCTCCAGATTGGTGCTGCAAAGCACCAGGACATGCAAAAGAGTGTGCAGTGTACAAAGGAACCATTTATGAAAAATGCGCCGGGCCTGAAAAGCATCTTGTCGTAATCCGGTTTTGGTGAAGCGAATGTTTACGACACTTTGGCTCACGAAGTTCTAGTTGAGGAGCTCCCGAATCCAGAGGTGATGGTGAACATCAATGCGGCAAACTCAACCCAGCCGGGCACTACGCAACGTGCCAGCATGGCAGAGGCGAGTGGGCTGGCAATGGGAGGGCCCGGAAGTGGAGCTCCAGTCGCTTCCATGTTCTGAAAGGCGCCACGTAAGTTGTTGTTGCGTGCGGCCAAAAGAAATGAAGTCCCAACAGAACGTCCGCTGTGAGTGTGGGAGGGGTTGCACTAGGCCTTGGGATCAAACCAGCTCGATCCACTCAGTAACGTTGTAATCTGTCCACCAAACTTCCACTCGGAGGTAGAATCAAAGTAAACCTGCTTCCAGTTCCACCAGACAGCATCCACATCTTCTCAGCCATGGTTAATCATGGCCATGCCCACATCTGACCCGACTTGCAAGTCCTCAGAGGTGGCAAGCCAGGGTTCTCATTGGATGGGGTGTGGGTGCAAGATCTCGGTAACACCTGAGCGAGGCAGGGACACGCAGCCCGGTGCAATGACCCGGCAAAAGCCCAACGTGCCCAGCAACATTGCAGTTGCACTCCATGGGTAGCGTCGACGGAGGGGACAGCCAAACCACGCAAACAAGATCATATCAAAGCTATCTCTTGTCAATCCTATCAAAGTGAGGCGACTTTTTCTTACTGCCTGGGTGGTTGTTCCCGAGACACACTTTTCATGAAGGTTTGCCCCCTGTAGACCCACATCGCCAGTGCCCACCTGGGCATCAGCCATGCCTCATTAGGAGGCCCGTCGCCAAACATCACCACGTCTGTGAACCTCATGTCTGTATCCGAGCTCCACATCATCACGGGCTCCAGCAAGTCCGAGCACCACTCAAAACAAGGTGACGCAAAAACACGACGGTCCAATCACAAGAGCGAAGTCCCCAGCAACCGAAAGACCCCACTCACATCCATGGATACAACATTCTTAGCCGTCTTAGCCATCCAACAATTAGCGGCAAACGGAAGAAGCGGTTGGAACCATCACCATCCAGGCTTTGTCTGTTGCAGCGGACACAAGAGAGATGAACGCACGTGTAGCCCCCCAAAGATGTACTTCAAATGTTGGCCCCTATTGCTGCAGGTCTCTTCCGTGACATCGTTCACATCTGGCAGGGCCAAAGTTCGGTGCCACGTCAGACTCGTAACAGTGTTTGCTGCTGTCGCACACTCAACTGCTACGAGTCCGAAAGACCGAGCAGGTCATATGCTCTGAAAGCGCCGAATATCCCACTGAGATTACCAAGACAGGAAGTTCACGACTATTGGCGCCCGGCGTGTCCAAGCCAGGAAGGAAACAAAGGAGCATCCAGGCCAACTTACAACGCACGAAAAACCCACTTCGTTCCGAGGCATCACAAGCGGTGACCACATTACTGACCGGACGGCGCAAGTCAGCCCCAACCACCATGGCCCGACAGCACCCCG